CCTACTCTATATCCCTATTCTTTTCACGACATACCGAAATATATCTATTTTCGATTTGATACCTCCCATCTTTCTGATTTCAGTCACTTCTGACCGTATCGCCTTTTTATGCCCTACAAGACCCGTGGAGATTCCCATTTATTACCATCCGATGCTCGGCACAAATTGGAGATGCGCCGGCGATGTCACGATGACTCGGATGATTTCAAACCCCACAACTCATCCGGTCCATCACCCCGATCAGCGGTTGGTAACCTTAGTCAGTTTTCTGCTGTCCCACGCTCGGGCAACAAGCGCAAGTTCTACCCGCTTGACATATGGGATCAGTCCAGCCGTCCAGCTGGTGTTACACGCACGGGACAAGGGGGCGGGTCACCTCCAGCTAGTGGACTCTCCACTAATCGTCCATTTCGCCGCGGCCGTCGTCTACCACAGCGCAGAAATGAAGGGGGACGTCGAGGACAACAGTCGACGACAGCAGATTCTCTCCCAGTTCTGGATCTCAACAATCCACATCTTCTGATGTTCTATTACAACCAGCTCTATCAGCAATACTATAAGACGTATACAGCTGCTGCTAACGCCGCTACCCTTTCCTTTCCTAGGTTAGTTATATTTTAACGTTTCTTCCTAAGATGCTTTCTTTGGATATTAGTATGTGAAATATTATGAGGTAACATGTAGATGTTTAAGGATGGAATTTGTTACGCAACAGTCTTGCAACAGCATGGTTTTGGTTGCTCCCATTCCGATTGAGTTCGATCCTAGATCTACCATCTTATCACAGTTTGTTAGCTTCTGGGTTTACTTGATATCACACTGTTATCGGTGAGTAGACATCATGTGTCTGCACTCCGATAGCGTATTCGACTGCCGGAAGGAGGACGAGAGACATGATGGGATGTAGAATCGGCAAGAACTTAATTTTACTGCGGTTTATACTGAACAAGCTATGCACTATTGCAGATGAGGGATCATCATGGAGGAAGTGAGGGGTGGCCTTCACGAAGAACAATGTTTTTTTAAATCATAGACAACGCTATCCTTATCCTGAAGCAACAACCTCTCCAATTAGACCTTTGCTATTCATGTGTTTGTGAATTACTTATTCGACTCGTCCCTGTAAGGTTTAACAGCAATTGATCTGTGGATCGAGCCAGCTTGAGAACGGAATGAATAATCAACATTCACTCGTACTCTGCTTTTTGTGACATTCTCTTATCATTCATATCGATTTGACCTGACCACTTCGATGGCTCGACGTCAACCGTAATTATTTTTAGCTCTTTGTGCCCCTGTGGAGTATGTGAGACTAATAATACCCATATCTGGCAATGGTTCTTTTATCGAGTCTCCACGGCAAAACTCTATATGATTACCTTGTTAATCAGATGTTTACCGTCAATAGGTTCGTAATTAGGTCTTTTTTATCCAAATCTCTGCGAATAACTCCAGATCAGGAACAGACCCTACCTATTTTTGCAGCCTTATAACTCTATATGATTACCTTGTTAATCAGATGAGTTGTCTACCATCAGTAGGTTAGTAATCAGGTCTTTTTTATCCGAATCTCTGCGAATAACTCCAGATCAGAAACAGACTCTACCTATTTTTGCAGCCTTATGGTGTGGTCGGTAGTGTTCCAGAATTGCTGTACACCCAGCATCTTCCACAGGATTATATCGATCGTTGATTCGGTATCTGACTCTAATCACGTGCTCGATTAGCCTCAAAATGTGGATGTGTGAAATATTACCGGAAGAGACTCTTTTTGGAACGTCTCACTACTTTTGTTTCTGTGAACAGCTGCACGTAGTCACATGCACCGTTTTCGTACAAACAGGAGGTTGGTCACACATAGTAGTCACGAAGGTAATCGGTGAATTTTGGTCCCACTTGAATTACAACGTCGGTCAACAGCCACAGCCGACCGTAAAAGTGCTAACCGTACAGGGTATGTCTTGTTATCTTGGATTTCCATTTGTGAATGATCTCCGAACATATGGAGTTCAAAAGATTTAGTTGGTGCGATCAGATTTTGGCAATCGGTTTTTATTTTCCGATGCGGTGAGCTGTATAAAGCGTGCATGACTTTCGGAATTTCCATAAGCACATTGGTTTAACAGACTCGTTCATACAAATCGATTTTTTTGTATCCCTAGTGGTTACTCCTCCAACCCAGACCTGGTCTCGGTCGCTGCTGCAGTGGCTTCCGGCATAACTCCTGAACTTTTGGCGCTAGGTTCGAGTTTGAACAATGCTGTTTCAAAGACTCAAAAGTCCGCTGCGACTACTGATGCCGACGGACGAGCAACGTCAAGGCGACCTAACCGTCATCAAGATTCCGGACCTGTCTCTGCCTCGGATGGTAACTACTCCGAGGACGATGGCAGCGAATCTAGGAACACTGACACGCGCACGCGATGGCGACCAGCCCAACCGGGGTCCGGCAGCGGCCCTAGACAAGAGGGAGAAAACGATGGTATGGGACCGCCAGGGGACCAACAGTCTTCGAAAAAAGCCAGGTTTACTTCGCAACAGGCAACAGATCCAAGGTCGAAGTCAACTAAAGTCAAGTCGGCAGTTAGAGGTGAGAGACTCTGTCATTCCAACTGCGTTATATGGAATTTGTCGGGTGCCTAGTTCACTGGCCGTATCGTGGCTGGATCCTTCTGGTGGTCCTCACGAGTATGTATCGATGTAGCAGCCTATGTTCATTGACCCACGCAATTAACAACCCAGTCTTGTTTTCAACGCGGGACACGATGAGTACTTGGGAATCAAGCTGATGTTAGACACTTCAATTCCTCAGCGGCAACCCCAATCCCATGTCGAGCCTGGCTTTTCCCATAAGTTCAGTGTACATTTTCACTGCATTAGGCGCTAGCAATTAAACAATTAACAATTAAACTTTACCTTCAAGAGGGCGTGTTTTAGTGCTGTCAGACGTAGGAATTGCTGGGGGCAGGAACTTAATCACCGTCCATCAAAAATCCAAGTCACCGAGTGTGAAATGCTCATTTACGGATTGTGTCTCACTTGTGTTGTAACACTAAGAGCTGCCTTTTTAGCTCACAAACTGAGCACGACTGTTAGTCTTCGAATCGCACTAAATTGGTATAAGCGCTGCTAATTTGGTGGTATATGCGAGATACAATGTTTTTTTACCAATCAGTTAGCGTAGAATGTACGGTGGTACTGTCGTTAGAACAATCTAACGACTCGTGCATGGTCATGCTTCTTTGAAAAGCTAGTGTCGGTATTTCGATAGACGATAGCTTCGGATTAGCGGCTGATTGCCCTTTATTCACGCAGTAGGTATTGTCTTACCCATTTATTTCTGTCCTCCGACATTAGCTTCCTCGAGCAAGTCATCACAACCAACTGGCAATTTACAATCGCGAGTAGTTGTCAATATATACAATCACCCTCGTGTTGATCCGGAAGGAACTCACGGTCGTCCTGGCAAGGCATCGGCTACAATCAAAGTTGTGGATCAGAGTTTGACCGACGCATCGGACCAAGAGGTTGTCAAATCATCACAGCCTTCCGTCTCTCCCGCGAAGAATGCACCGGCCACAAGGCTTCAAACGGACACTGAACTAAGCGCGCAACAGCCCTCTATAATAACACCTGAGAGCGCGGAAAAACCCACTTCCTCTACGCCTGCTAGTTCCACAGTGGTGTGTCCGAGCCAACAGGGTGAGTATAATTCTATCAACCACGATCGTACACTTCGTTTACTGCTTGATCCATGTGATCTCATCTTGTTTTTTCTGTCGTCTGTAGGTAATGGTGCTTCTGATGCTGAAACAATCAAATCTTGTCAGCAGAAGATCGAAACTACACCAGATCCCAAAGCGTCTGGAACTTGTCCCACTAAGTCACAATGTAACGCGACTGCACTGATGACTCCCAACATGTCTCCATTGAGCAGCACCGCTCCAGCTGTCCTGGACGACTCTGATTCCATCGAGGAGGGTGAGGCGAAGGACGATGACTTTGATGAAGATGACGAGGAGGGCGAAGAAGACTATAACGATGGAAGTGAAGAGGGGGAAGAGAAGATAAGAGACAAAGTTGCTCCACCAACAGATTCGAATCAGTCGGCGGAATCAGAGGATGAAGCTTCCTTTGACTGGTCAAGAAGCAAGCGCCGCTCCGATTGGTCTGTTCCAGAACGGACGAGACGTCGTGTTGAAGTTGTGTCCTCCGAATCCCTTCTGCTTCCATCCAGGTTAGTTTCTACGTAGAATGGGATGCGGCTCTTGCCGTGTGTTCCGAAAAGGCAGACTTATGTTTCATCAAGGACGCTATGTTCTTTTCGTTCATCAGAAACCCAACTGGTGCACTCTGCCGAATCTGTACTCTTTCAGTTTCCAATTCTTTCGATTTCTACTTGGTCCTTATACCTCAGGAGATAGTTGGACGCGGATGCTCTCAGCTGGACTAGGCTCCAACAAGAGCCGGTGGATGTATTACACCAGAGTCCTCACCAGCCAGTCATCGATAACTATCTCGAATCAGGTGCACTGTGTTCACTCGAAAAGGTGAAACCTTAATCCGGGCGAATCTCTTGGCACTTCTCTGACTTAGTTTATCTGTTGGTTCAGGTGGTTCATCCGTGTGTGGCGTGAACCTCTTTTGGCTCATCTGTGTAGATAAACCTCTGTTGAATACACGTATCATTGGTTGTCAAAACAGTAACTCTGAAAGGACTCATTCTCACGCGGTACTTATTAAGAGGCGTTTGCATAAATCTGGAGGTGTAGAAACAAACCCAGCCCTAATACCGAATGAATTATCACTTGTTCTAGCAACGTCTCCGAGGAGAACAGACTGGGCTGAGGAGTGGCTCTTAAAGTGCCTACCAAATGAAGGCTTGTAGTCCTTCGTCAAAGGTAGGCTTTGTGGAATATGCGCATCTGTTTACTGTCGTGGTCCCACATCTTGCCACAAAAACATCTGTTTTGGGCTCACTGCTGTTTTCCCGATTCCTCTTGTCTAGGCTGTTCAGGCAGCCTTCTGCTGAAAGTTTGCTCTAGTTGAACAATTACCTTAGCTTGAGAACTCAGAGGTGGCACGCACAAACGTTTTCGACACGAGGGTCCCCATATTTCACTGTTTCATTGGCTTCCTCACAACCATTCATTCATGAGTGGTTTTACGGGAGACTTGGATTACCCATCTCATGTCGTTTTTTTTTGTAAAACGGATGAAAGGACGTAAGTCCCAGATGTTTACGAGCCTTATCTTCCTTGTCCAACTTGGTCGTGTTCTGACGGTTCATGTACTCCTCGACCCATTAAAGAGGATATCCGACGGATAACATATCCTTTTTCTCCCGGGTTCGCCGGATGGAACATATAGGTTTTTTGTTCCTTAAGAATTTACCATTGTGGATATCCCGACAGCATACCGTTCCGCTTATGAGTACGACAGTGAGGCATCATTCCGAACACCGATGTTACTTTCCGTGATACTGAGCAGGAAAGTAGCGTTGAGTGATTGTGCGCACTTTCCTAACTTTACTAAATAAGTGAGGCTTCATGTGAACAATTTTGAATGAGTTTGTTCGTTTTGTGACAGTCTTATGCTTGCCAAATTGAGCTTCAGCTATCCTTTGTGTCTCGCCAAGTCACCAACTCAGATGATCGGATAGTTTTCGCATTCACGTTCCCTTTTTCTGCTAAGCCTGGAAATCATTTTCATTTCATTTCTGTTCCCGGTCACGGTATTTTGTAGCCAACCAGCATCATCAGCGTTGCTCCCTACTCCAGTGAACCTGTTCGCCAGTACTGGCGATTCCCCATTCCCATCTGGCTGTCCTCCCAACCTTCTTGAAGCCACTGCAGCAATGCTAACCGGTATTTGCCCGCCAGTTCCTTCATTGTTCGCCAACCCACTCGCTTCTGGTGGTCCGCGTGGCGGTGACCAATACGCTCCAGGTTTTGCTTCTGGACCGAACCCCCTTGACTTGCTTGCTTTTGTTCAGCTTACCAACCCAGACCATTTCTCGCAAATCCAAAAACAAATGAAGCGATTACAGTCCACTACGGCAGCTCGTAAGGGTACATCAAGTCGAACCTCAGATGTTGAGCAAGATTCTGCCAGGTTGTCGCGACAAAGGCATTCCGACAGCGTCTTGAAGTCACGTGCCCGCCACACTACGGATACCGGTACGAGGAAAGAAAGTGGAAGCGAACGAGAAGCGCGGAAAAATAAACGCCGGACGGTGTCGGAACGATCTAGCGGTTCAACCAGGGTGTCAATGAAGGCTCACAAAAGGTGAGACAAACACCAGGCCGTGTTCTTTACCGTCTGTTTCACAGGTCATTTTATTCTTCTCCTTGTTACATGAAAATGATATTACAAGAGTGGAGAATCTTAATGTCAGAAGACCAACTTCTGAATGTACTATCAAAAAGATTGCAACTTCGTGATTCGAGGTGCGGATAACAAGCCTTTTCATTGCATTCACTGTTCCATCCAGAACACGTTCTAGCTACCCAAAGACCGACAACCCAACTCACGGGTACAGAGTAGCGGAACGCATACGACTTTTGAAGGAGTGGCGCACGACACCACTTGCTCTCTTCCGAATCGTTAACTGTTTGAGCAGTTCGAGCATTTTCTGAAATGCCCCGTCTTTTATGTTGAACCACATTAGAGTTGCACGATGTCTCGTTGACGTCGTTAGAAGCGCTAAATTGTTCTGCCTAACCTCTTTTTGGGTGCTACTTATTTCGTACAAGTTTTCCTCGATTCGCTTTGACATACCGGAGAATATCTGCTTCGAGTCGCTGCATTTTCTATGACGCACCACTAACTAAACCTTTCTATTTGACAGACCTCGTAGGAGAGTTGTGCTACTTTATATCGTGGTTGTTCAACTTGGCAACTTTATGAGTATGCAGTTTTCTCTCCGGAAGAACATCTTCAGTGTATGTTGTCTTCCGAAACACCCAACATAGCTGGTTTATTTATTCCTCGGTTAGATTATTGAAATCCAACACTCGGACGGGCTTTTCAGAATGAGTATTCTTGTCATCAAACGGTTGTTTCCAGGCGCCAATCCGCTTCAGTTAACCGTATCGGTCTCGCCCAGGGTCAAGCTCTATCTAGTGCAAGCGGTTGTGTTTCGTTGGTCGTATCATCTTAATGTGCTTGAATCTCCCGTGAAAACCAAATTGATTTGCAAATGAGTGTATTTGTCGAAATCAGTCCAATGTATGCTCAAGTGAAACATAAGACTGACGAAAACTCGGGAAACTTGCCTGCCTGATGAGCCCCGAGAAACCGGTCATGGGCTGTCAAAGAGTTTCAGGCAATCTTGTGAGTACTTTCCTTTTATGGAAACTTACTGTGATGTCTCGAATATCGCACCAACTGATACTTTTTGCTCCCTTATATGTGGCGGTACTCTCTAGCTGAAGTCCGTTGTTGCATCTGTGATTCTGTCTACTGGATGATTAGCGAGTAGTTGAAAATGGATGCATCCTTCCCGTGCCATTCGCTGCAGTGGTCCACCAATTTCGAACGTTTTCGTAAGGCCATATTATGAAAGAACTTGTTGTGGGAAAAAAGGTAAAAGCTACCTAGAGGATTTCATCCTCAGAGCTCTCATATGATCCACACGTCCTTTTGAAATCGTTTTCCCGCCCTCAGAGTGTGCGGAAACTGTGGAAAAACTGAAATTCTTCGGAAGAACTGGAACGAATGTCATCATTACGGAGGTCTTACTGTTTGACACCCGTCACTATCGGCACGAGATGCTTTACAGCTCATGTGTGCGGGGTATTCGCTGTCAATTTTCACTTTTTTACGTTTTCCCTCTAACTCGTAGATATATGTTCACATAAGCTGTTTCTGAAAGTCTACTTGGTATCACCACCGAGTAGGATATATGACCTAGACAGTGTACATGATAGCTTACTGTTAGTGAAGCCTTTCTGTTGGTTTTACAGCACCTCACCTTCAGAAGTGTCTGGCTCATCCAGTCGGAGCGCATCGTGCCACTTACCGGACTCCAGAACCGCTTCAGATGCTAAGCGTGCCACTGGTTCAGCTATTGAACCAGAATCCCATCCTGCTTACCCATCTCCAAAACCCACCCGTCTTGCAGTCAAACAGTGTCCTTCGCCTTCAGTTCGAAACGAGGTTGACACTTTCTCGAATAGTGGTGATGTTGACGATGAATCCGCGGAAGATGACAACAGCAGCCAATGGCAACAACCGGTTCGTAGAGGACCGAGGACACCGTCAACTCCCCCGGGGTCATCTGACGATGAGCAACCAACGGCTGGGACTAGCATTTCCGGTTCACGAAGAACAACCGTCCACGGACTTAAAGTTGAGTCGTTTTCTAGACGATCTAGCTTGGAGCGCCGCCGGTCTACGAAAGGTCCGCTACCGAGACGCCGTTCATCTTCCTCGACGGATAGCTCAGCCGATCAGGGTGATGTGGCAACTTCCGCTCGGAATTCCATCTCGGAACGTGAATCTGATTGCGAAGCTCCATCTGAACAGTTTTCAAGGAGATCCGTGGTAAGTCTTGTTCAGGGAGCAATGGACGTTTTCTACAAAGTGAGGCCTCTCGTCAAGCAAAATGCGATGGAGACCCGTGTTTTTCTTGATGCACTTTGTTTTTTTTTCGCGTTCACTGGTTCCGCTCATAATGTGTTGTTTTACCTTGTACATGGATGGCACTTCCAATTTCTTTCAAATAAGCTAATAGCAGTTTTGCTTGTCCCTTCACAGTCATTCAAAACCAATACATTAAAACTATGATCAGTGTGAGAACATAAACTGGTCGCGTTTTGTTGACGTGCCATCCATACCGTCATAACAGACAGAGAGTCGGTGCACGGCATGAGCGTGCTATATCTCCAAGTATTTATTCTTTACAGAAATCGAAGATTGACTTAGTAACAACACGTCCGATAATCAACTACTTGGTGGATTGTGTCTTTTCGAGTCCATCATTGAATGATTCTGAATTTCATGCATCGAATTCATTTTCGCGGATTTCTACGATATTTCATTTGGAGAGTTGAGTAAACATATGTGGGGAGAATACTGCAAAGCGCGTCTCTTTATTCAGTACCCCTAATAGACAAAATAAAGGCGAGCGTATGGTCTGGCCGTGCGAAAGCCTAGCTACCATCCCATCCGAAAGAAGCACCAGGGCTGCGATAGTGCCATGCTTATACCGGCCCAGACAAATGCAGTCGAGTTGTCGAGGTTAGGTTCGAACCGCAGATCTTCTGGTCAGTCAGTAAGTTCGCGCTCCAATAATTGAACCATCTCGAGCTTGATGAGACTTAATCTTACAATGAAGCCGATCCCAAGCCCTGTACAGTCGAACAAAAGGGACTTTATGGTGTACTCTTATAGCTGTCCGTAAACAGAAAACCGGGTTACCTGTGGCCATGATATGCTTTTACGCACGCACACACACCAAACGCCTCTAATCCCATGAACTGGGTCAAGGTGTCGATGTCATATTTACCTTTGATATGTTCATTCCTATTGGTAGAATGTCATACTGCTTATGCAAAAGCCCGTCTGGTTTTTGTCAGGGATTTTATGTAAAAATTCAAGCACAGTACTTGGGGGCTTCGCCTGCCTGTTGATCCCATGCGGGGGATGAAACCGATCGTGAACTGTCGGAGAGCTTTCAGCAACCTTATAATTAGTGGGTTCTGTCTAAATACGTATTCCCCTTCGTGAAGGTTCACTTTCCGCGGTTATTTTCGTTAGTGTCCATTTTTCGGGAAATTGCGCACATCATGGCAAATTCAAGGGCAACACAAAGATTCACACTACTCCATTCAACATCAGGTTTATGCAACACAATGATAACTCCATTCATTCGTGTCCTCTCTGTTTTGTTGACGTTCCGTAAGTTCAATGGACTCGTGGATCTTCTCAAGGGTAGTGTATGCACAGTGCCATTCATACTGCTTGTGGATTGGGGGAAGAAGCTTGTCCTCGAAGCACTTTTTATCTGGTTGGACTATTGATTCAACAGGTTTCTTTTCAGGAGGAACGTCTTATGCATGACGAACAAGCTGTTCACACCTTGTAAACCACACTTTCTAGGTCGCGTACTTTTACCGGAAGATTGTTTACTTTTCAGCGCTTCTTTCCTTCAGACATTTGCGTGACTCAGTGACACACAATGACTCAGTCGCACAGCCAACAGGAGTAGTGCGACAAAGCTATCGCTTTGGATGCGTGACTGTCCGCTTTGCTCATCGGCGAATGAAACTGTAGCACGTGAAAACAACGTGTTTTGGCACGAGGGTTGCAGTTGAAAAGCGTAAGGATGCGATTGGAAAATGGGCCATCGCTCATTTTATGTTATCAGGGGATGCGCCGCCATGCATACAGACACATATAGGTTATTGAGCATATTCATACTTGTTTGACAGCCCATAGGAATCGCAAAGGTAGTTTAATATACAAGTAGCATTTTTTTATTATTTCATCAAGTTACATGTAGTGTGAACAAAGATAGCACGCCCTGGGGCCTGTGGCCGCCAAGTGATCTGTCAATTTGCGAGCCAGTATAGCCCCAGAGACTAGTTTCCCAGGATACTTTGTTCTCAAATAAGTGATTGTCGGTAGTTCATGGTTCCTATTGTATTCTACCCTGCGAACTTGCACTGACCCGCTACATTTTCCCTTGCTTAGTCAAGCACCGGGCTGTTTCATCCCGACTGACTAACCTTTATTTAAAATCTAAGGAGATATGCTGATCGAATTGCCAAGAGCTATGGATTGTCGATTCATTGCATTACATTGGCCGACGCTAAAGCTCCATGGTATCCTCAGGAATTAGGCATTTGTCCTTCTTTCTCCATTTGACTTCCTAACAAGGTTCATTATGACCTTATCACTTTGTTAACTAGCTACTGAACTTGCGTAACAAACTGACTATTGTTCTTCTGCATATTAGGGATCAAAAACACGAGCCCTGCCAGCGGCATACGCCCATCCACATAGTCATCGCCGCAGCTCTACCGATTCCTCGCATCCTCTGCAAAGCGTTCCTCAGAAGCGGTCTTCTGTAAGTTCCATCAATGGTTCGCGATCTTCGGAAACCTCTTCATCCTCATCGTCCAGCTCATCCTCGACTGAACGGTCTTCACGCTCAAAATCATCCTCTACTTCTCGCAGCTGTGCTGCTGAAACGGGAACACCGGTCGAAGTCCCTAGTCAGCGATTGTTGCATGCTGTTAGGCCTGGTCGTCCTTCCAAAGTTCCTACTGTAGCTCAGCAGTGTCTTTCTTTTGACCAGGGGCTCGACACTGCGAGTGTGGAAGGTTCAAATGGAAAAGGCAGGACGTCCAGAAATCGAGAACGAATGGATCGTGTTCGCCAGTCTTCGCGAGGAAAAGTACTCCCAGACAGCAGTGTAAACGAGCTCGATTCTATCGATGGCGAGTCAAAGGCGAATCGCCTAAGTTGTCACGAGAGAAGGTATCGTAGACGGCCATCATACCAAGAAGGATTAGGTGACTATTTATCTGATGAGTCTTTTGAAAATGTTGGATCTGACCAGTCCGACGCACATTCCAGAACCGCTTCCGCATGTCACTCCTCTCTTTCACACTCTGCTGCCTCTGTTGGTTCTGCCTCTCCGCTGGACTCCGAAACTCATGATCAGGATACCGATCGCCACCGCCATCCAGCTCTGTCAAACCAACCTACCACTGTGAACCCTCGATGGCGTCCGGATCATCGACCGAATTCCGCAGAACAACAAAGCCCCCGTCCCAGTGTTCAAGGAGCACCTGACCAACGGCGTGCCACCGGTGGAATTCATTCAACTGTGAAACCACAGTCACGATCAGGTGATCGTTATGGTGCTAGAGGCCTGTTACCATCACCCATATCCAAGAAGACTACTAGGGGCCGTCCAGAACAAACTCGGACTAGGTATGATCTTCCCCGCCGGAATCCCATTGCTCGTGATATGGGTAATTGTAGGCCTACGGGTGGACGTGAACACCGACAGCGTCGCTCAAGGTCATTGAGCACGTAAGTTTACCATCCATCTCTTCATTACTTCAATTTTCGTTGACAGCCACAGATGAACTCATCTTTTGAGTAGTATTGTCTTCACCTGGAACACGTTTTCGAGTGTAAACACCAATTTCTTTCCACCCATACATTTCCGGTGGCCACACCTCAGATTTTAGTAGCAACCTGCTACCACGAACCTGTTTCGTGTAGTCGTCAAATACTTGGTTTTGACAGGGGACTCGACTGAATCCAGATGAATCTCTCGTTTACGACGTTTATCAACTGAATATGTTGCACAGGTCCACCTCACGTTTCACTTGATACGATATTCCAGACTCACAACACATTTTCTGACGTAACACACTACTCATGCGGTTGTTGTCGAAGTTTCCCCTAACCTTATCAGTAGTCTGTTTCGCAGAGTTTTAGTCGCACTGGATTTGACTGAGTGTTTTGAATATTGAAATGTTGGCTAGGGAGCCGTACGCTTGTGGTAGTTCATGGGCTGTAGTGTCATAACTGTAACCGGAACAGTTTCAGCTGCCTCATCACGAGCTGGTGGTGTGGAATGTGAGTCGCGGTGACCGCTGTACAGCGCTGTAGTTCAGCTTGCTTAGTGCGAAACTTTTTTAGCGAGACTGACCTTGGCATTTAATAAAATCGTTCATTCGATTTCTGTGCCATACGATCTTGCGCACACGTGCTATCTATTTTATGGTGCACATCCAAGCAGGGTCTTCATTGTTCTTGTTATCCTGCAGCAAGATGGTTTTGACATAGGCGGTTGAAGATTGAAATTATCCGGGAACTTTCGGTAAGAACGAGGATTCTCCACATGGAAAACACGGTTAGATTTTGGATTGGCTGAAAAGGCAAATCGTCTTGAAAACCTGTGAAGCCCAAAACAATTCAGCCAAAATTTATTATTGGGTGGAAACGGTTTTGGGGCCAAACTGAAGCTGCTTTGCAAGGGAGCAAGCATCGACCTCTCGGCGCTCATCACCCGATCAATCCCAATTAGGTCAGGGTCATTTGGCATCCCCTAACGGTGGTACTTGTCGGGGAGATAACGTTTCCGTTGAATTGCGAGTGATGAATAAAAGCAGAGAGCTAGCTTTTCATGCAGCAAGGGAGCAAGCATCGACCTCTCGGCGCTCATCACCCGATCAATCCCAATTAGGTCAGGGTCATTTGGCATCCCCTAACGGTGGTACTTGTCGGGGAGATAACGTTTCCGTTGAATTGCGAGTGATGAATAAAATCAGAGAGCTAGCTTTTCATGCAGCTTCTAATCACTAGCTGTGATCAGTGCGATTGGATTTATGGAAACCGTTTTTGTTTTTCTAGAAAATGGCAGCGAGGTCGTGAAAGAGTCGAACCCGATTCAGGTGGACGCTATTATTCTAGAGACCGGGCTCCAGCTCTGGGACCTGACCGACACCAGCCTCAGGACAGCTCGAGATGCTTTCAGCGGAATACTTACTACCGAGCCGGACAGGTCAATAAATATGCAGACGAATATCGGGTCAGTGGGGTCTATCAGCGACAGGAAACCTATGATCGTCGTAAACAACAGCCCATGACACTTGCTCGTGATTCGCGACAGATTGGATGTTCTAATCGATCTCCTCTTGGTCGCGGAAAATATCAACGCCCTTACGCTCCGTTCATGGAACTCCGTAGTCGCCAATTAGGGGTGACCAAAAACCGACAAGCTGATCTTATTTGGGAACCTGGTCCAAAAAATATGCATCGAGCAGAGTATTCACGTGACTCGTTTGCAGCCGCCAGGCGCTCTCGGTCACCACCCGTCCGTTCGGATGCACGTACTCACTTTCGGGGCCCTCGACAAGTAGTATCTCCTGTCTCCGGTGATTCGCGTCTTCGTAATTATCCGGTACGTTTGTCTATTTTGATATCAAGAACCCTTGTAGAGTAAAACAGTAGTTCCCTTACAGAATTGTTCAGCTGAACTTATTTGAACTTATTTGTGCACATTTAGTGAGGTCTTCAGCTCAGTTCTTTCGTCCACGATCCAAGTAATCTTGAGATATTTTTTGTAATCTTTCCGATTTCCAGGCCGAATTTCAGGGCGCAATCTATGACGAATGCCAGTCATTATTCTTCCAGGATAAACGATGTCGGTAGTCACGTTGACTGTGAACTAGGGTGTGATCGAGTTCAGGTGTCTAGCCAGGGTCTTGGAGGTTATTGGATTAAGCTCATCTGACATTCAGCCACTGAACACATCAACTGCGATCCAAAGAGAATCACTCGAAGCCGTGGAGTGTGTTACTCATCTTGGAGGTTGTATTAGTTCCGACAATGGCGTGGCAGATGAGTTCGATGCAAGAATCTCTAAGTCTCGGGTCGCGTTTGCTAATTTGAGACGCCTATGGCGGCAAAGGTATCCTTCAGTCTTAAGGGCTGTGTGTATCAGGCTATAATTCGCTGTTTGATTGAGACTTGACCTCTTTGAGCAGTTGAACTAATACGTCCTCTGGCCTTCGACAAGTACTGTCTCAGAACCATAGCTCAGATGGGCTGGTGTCGGCGAATCCGCAACGAAACGCTTTGAAAGGTGGTGTTCGGTTGTGCAACTCGCTCATCGAAGAATGTGTTCAGCACCAGAAGCTACTTTGGTTAAGCTATGTATTTGCTCATGGCGAGTTACCGTTTGCCGAGGGAGTGCTGTTTTCCGTGGGACATTCTAGATGGCGCAGGCAGAGAGGTGGTTGGCCTTTTCTCTGGCAGAGAGAAATAAAGCCAATTACAAAATGACTGGTAATGTTTCGACACGCCTTCCAGGATCGAGTACTCTTAGGTCAGCTCACGCATAGTTGAAGACGCTGCAAGACGTGGTTACTAATTGATTTCAGTGGCCTTCCTTTTGTCAATTTCTATCCGGATTGCTGAAATGTCTGGAGGTGTAGGCACCTCGTCGTAGGTTAACACCAAGTTCCTTCCCTATCTATTTTTATCGTTTTCTTCACGGTAAGAATTTCAAATAAATTATGGTCGTGCGACACCAAACCATTAGCGGCTTGTGCTTCGTTGTTTTGCTGTCGATGATGTACTGGCACTTATAAAGGTACCCTTATGACAACTTCCTTGGGCGTGTACCTGAATTCACCACGTTTGGCGGGGCAAGACAATCCTGACCCCATTCACAATTCCTCCTGAACTTCAGTACTGACGTGCTTTTTTGGAATTCCTCTGCCGGCCTCCGTTCCCTCGCCCATTCCCTCACAGGTGTTGACTACGCAGATGATATTGCCCTCCTTGAAAAAACAAGGTAGTTTAAATAACCTATATCAATCTGCGGAACTGTTTGTCATACGATTCGCACCTTCAAAGTGTAAAGTACTGCTAGGAGATTGCGTTTGGCGGCGAGATGGCTCAAGTGGTTAGCGCGCGAATTTACTGACCGAAATGTCCGTGGTTCGAATCCAAACTTTGCCTCTCGACTTCCCCTGTCTAGCCTGGCAGTATCCCAGCCCTCGTGCTTCATTTGGGTGGCATGGCAGCTAGGCACCGGAAGGGTGCTACAGCTGAATGCTACAAGATTGTGTGGGATGAGTCCCAGAGCAAGATCCTCACCGACCGGCTAATCGACGTGCCAAATACCCGGGCAGTTGTGTAAATTCTGATAGACTGGCTGCAGACGAGATTACTGCTCAAATAAGGAAGAACAGAGTTTGTCAGCTTCCCATAGCTTTGTTGCCGGTTTGACGTCAGTTCGCCCGTCATTGACACAGCATACACTAGGACGATTCATTTCCTACTGCGAGATCTGAAATGTGGATCCGGTTTCTCGTTCTTTCAAACGGCTAGAATGGTTCAGCACCAACCATCGCCTCCGGGTGTTGTACGGAAATCAGCTGAAATCATTGTGTTCTTGGCATGCGGTTTAAAGCTTTCACAGAAATGGTTTTAGTTGAGGTTGAATCTAGCCAACTACCAGTTGTTTATTCTTCAATATGATCTGGATTTCAACACCTCTCATCACAGATGTAACAATTCCTATTACTGGGTTTTCGTTTTGTGAACCTGACGTATGACTCTGACCTGGTTTCCCCTCCCCTTGTCTTCACATGTACCTTTGCAAAAACCCCACTAATTTATGTGTTTTGGCGCGTTCAATCCAGGGGCTGTCGTTTCCACGTTCGACTTTCCATTCGTAAATGGATAACTCCTTTACCTCTTCTTTGCAGCAAGCTCGATCGGCTAGGGGTGCTCATACCAACGCCGACATTCGGCGGCAAAGATCCCGTTCAACCAATTCTAACAAACACTTGGCACGACGGGCTCTCGCTTCGCATCACGGTGGACCTCGGGATTCGCGACGTTGGTTGAGTCGTGAAGAAACATACCGCACAGATGCTACAGGATCGAGTAGAAGGCAATCACCCGCGCAACGCCTGCGGTCGGGTCAAAACACGCACCAACGTCGACGTCCTTGTGATGACTCGGCCAACAGTTTTCGTGAGTGTGATGCCAGAAATAGACGGTCCGTTCGAAGAGATTCTCTTGAAGACAGCCATTCGACAAGTCAAAACAACAGATACAGGAGAGATGATCGCCGTCCGGTTCCAAGAGGCGACCGCTTGTCGCCTAGTAGGCCTTCGGCGAGTAGATTCCATACCATCTCCAGTTCATCAGCCTCAGACCAGTCTTCACGTCCGGGATCACGGGGCAGTGGGAGTTCTGCAACCACAGGCAGTGCCGCATCTTCATTCCACCGCGACAGCGGGAGCAGGGGTGCTGATACCTCTTCGCTACCGCGATCTAGCGCTCAAAGTGGTTCAAGAAATGGTCAATCAGCCGCAGTTTCAATGGCCACGACAGCTGACCACAACCAGACTAGCGGAGCTGGGAAACATCGTTATGCGAGCAGTCCAGGAAGCCCGACTTCCACCACTCAAAAGAAGCGACTGAAGGTTAGTGCAGGGTTTCCCGTTCCCTGTTTATAATTTAAATGGAGCAGCTGCCCACTTTCCTCTCCACAATCAAAGGCCCGTGTGTCGTTTCGTAACCACCTTTGTCGTAGGCGATAAAAAGCGTATTTTAGCGTTTTTTGCGTCTGGTTTCATCTCACAATTCTTCGGATCGTGATCTTGCCGTCCAATTTCGTTTCATAGGACATCCAGTTTATAAAATAGCTAGCCAGCTGTTCTCTGCAGGTGTGCTCGGGTAACTAGCGCCCGAGCTCCTTGAAAATGTATCATCCACACATATCTACCTGGCCGCCGTGAGCAGGCTTTAACTGTTTTCGAGAGTTGAGGTGCATTTCCGAGGTTTCGGGGTAACGAATCAGTATTACTGGAGGCAGTAGAGGAATTTATTGAGATAGAGTTACATTGGCCTGGACATGTATCCTAGCTAGCTGATCGACTTACTTGGAAAGCCAACTATGTTAGGTTTGGAATCGATGTTGAGTTCAAAGCCACACAACCGTAAACTCAACCTTCTTGGTAGTTGACGGGAGCCTTCAGTGTTTCGAAACGTTCGCGAAAGTTGCCCAGTGACACATTCAAATTGTTCAGGTATCCGAACTGTTGTCTATAATGCGTAGCTAACCGAAGCGACCGAATTCGCGACTGTGCCTCCGCTTCGTCAACAAGACCATTGCACGGCATATTCACGATCTGCAGTTGGTGTTTATGACTTCCTCGACTGTTTCTCTCAGTCTTACAAACATGGCGGCTTCCTGTACAGATGTGTACTCATGAAACTGGGCAATGACGGAACATTTTGTAGTTCTTGTGTTTAGTATGGCCTTCACATTCAAACGTTTTCACCCCGCGTTATTTATACCTGTCTATTTTTACATAACTGGCGCCAAAATCATCTGTTTGAAAAGACCCGGAGTATTTTTATATGTGGTCATCTTAACATGCTTCCTCTCGTCTGATGAACATGTCAATTTTTCTTCGAATGAAAAACAATTTTCTGTTCGAGTTCACTCTTGACTGGGCAGTTGGGCGGGCATACATGCACACGACCGCACGGGCACAGCTGATCAACAATGTCTAAAAGGTCAGTGTGCACTTTTTGCATCGCATCGACCGCACTGCACCACGCACTGTGCACAGTTCTGCCTCCTAAATCACCATCAGTTTTTCGACCCAAACGCCTGCCTGGTGGTCACTTATCGAACAAGCGCCCATCCGCCCACGCAAGTTTTCCCAAATCACACGTGTAGGCATGTGCACATACGCGTTCGTTCTCGGCGCAAATGTCCTATCGACCCTGCATTTGTTCGAATATCACAACTGTACGAATCGATATGGAAACAGATACGCGCTATGTTCCTGCCTGGTTGCTCGCCACGCAACAAGATGGACTGATGGTGGAAAATGAATCACAGCAACGCTTTGGGACGATGAGTGTTACCGACGTACACACACACACACACACATACATACATACATACTCGCATGTGCCTTCCTATGTCTACTTCAACTGTCCATTCTTCTTGGTCGTGTGTGGATTGTGCCGGTTGCTTGTGTATGTGTGGTCATCTAGTTATAGTTCTCCTCTCCCCGTACCTCATCTATTCTTTCTTTTGTCGGCAGTCTGCAGGTGTTTTCCCACCATTTTATTGCCTCTGGCTTGTTTCGTTCGTTTGCTGTCACCAAAACCAAACATTGGTCGTTGTACCGGTGCTGTTGGCACTGCCGGGAAGTGATGTACCGATCCGATTCGGACAGGTGCACTGGACCGGTCTAGCAGACCACCGTAGCGAACAAACACACTGGGTTTCATTTATCATCAAAGAGCGGGGTACGTGTTATAAAGTGTTGTCCTCAGAGATCCTGAATCGAAAAAAATAGTTCAGCGTAGCACCCTTCAAAGAGCGGGGTACGTGTTATAAAGTGTTGTCCTCAGAGATCCTGAATCGAAAAAAATAGTTCAGCTGTAGCACCCTTCCGGTGCCTAGCTGCCATGCCACCCGAATGAAGCACGAGGGCTGGGATGCTGCCAGGTTGCCCAAGCCTAGACAGGGGGAGTCGAGAAGCAGAGGTCGGGTTCGAACCACGGACCTTCCGATCAATAAATTCGCACTCTAACCACTTGATTCTGAACTTCAACCTGTTTGGCAATATCCATCGGCTCACGGAGTGCATTTATAGGAAGATATGCGATAGATCGTTCGGCTATTCATGTGGCTGGTCGCACGGGAGCACCATAGCTTTGATGCTTTGCGTTGTTTTGTGTGGGTGCCCGCGGTTGATCAGTTACTCAACAGAAATCCAGGGTAATTGAGGTTGATTTAGAGTAGATAGTTGAGTGGAGGAATCCTTTTCATTATCTCACATTCGACTCGGACATATACCTGGGTTAAGAAGAATACATCGATATACGAATAATCAGTAGGAGAAAGGTCAAGACACGTGAGCAGAGTGGAGTTGGACCGATGAGGACATTGGATTACTGATGATGATCAATCTCACCAGTTCTACCTGCTGACTCGTGATATATGTACCCTTGTGGTTCATCAAGGGTGAGCGCTGCACTCGGACAAAAGGCTTCTGGATGCGAGTTTCTGGCTTATATATGCCGATCGCGACAGGTTCAGCTGTATTGTTGCCAGTTTTAGATCAACCTCGTGGATAGCTTGAAAATTTTCGGTAGTATTCACGTTGAGCAAAGACCGAACTGTCGATTTGCCGCACATTTTGCCACCCATGATCCAATGGGTTCACAAATTCGTTTAGATAAGGATCTCGTCGTTTCGTCTATGTATCGAGCATCGCAGGAGCAGGCAACTCGAAGGACAAATCGAAGTGGTTTGTTAGCCCTTCGCAGCTTAGCATGACCTCACTTCAGGAGAGGAAGATCGAAATTGTACTTTCGAGGTTCTTTTTACCGGAGCCTTGGGTTAAATAACGGATTTGCAATATGTATGGTGTTTTGTTGCTACACTGCAATGCGTGATAGCAGCGTCTAGACGGTTGCTTCCGGTAAATTCGAGTATATCCATCCACTTCGGCTAACATGCATCGTTTAGACGGGAAAATTCAGATGCGTCCAACGTGCGTCGGTGGAATAGTGGTTACATGCTCGCCTCGCATTTCAGATGTCCGGGGTTCAAATCCCGGTACGATCATTGGATATGCACTGCTGATGGGCTCCAATAAGAGCGAAACTCGAGTCCAGTGCTTCCCTTTGGTATGGACTCAGCGGAATAATCACGCCAGAACAGGAGGACGACCGTTCAAACGAGAGTGGTGTGACTATGAACGAAATACCTATACCACAAAACCCCAAAACTGCAACTAAAATACATCCGTTTGACGTGTAACTCCATTCGATCTGGCAAGACATGGTTAGGAGCTCCATACAGATATGTTGTAGCTCGTCATGGACCCTTTGCATACAGTGGTCAAGTACTCAAAGCTAGCTAATTCGTGGAAGGTAGACTGAAGCTTTGAGCTTAAAAAGCGTGTAAAAGAGTGCTCGAGATGTTACGAGAAAAAATCGAACCAATTTTCAGTAGACACTCCACTGAAGTGAAATCAGTTCGATGCTGTGATCAGTGAAGCGACGTGAAAGCGAATATTAACAACGACGATCAATAATTAACCAGAATTCTCCAACCGTTTTTGTGGTGTATCACAATGGTATCGTTGTGTATGAAAACGACCTGTTTTGCCAGCCTGAACTACAACCTGAGTGATGTGACCAAATTGATTTGCAAATGAGGGTATTTGTCGCAATCAATCCAATTTAGGTTCAAGTAGAACATAAGGTTGACGGAAACTTGGGGACTGCGCCCACCTGATGAGCCCCAAGAAGGGTGAAACCGGTTGTGGGCTGTCGAAGAGCCTTCAGCAACCTTGTGAGTAGTTTCCTATATAAGACCTGAGTGCTTTTGAGATCATCGATTTGCTGATCAAACACATCTGTGCACACGAACCCCGGATCACCTAGTGGATTTATCCCGGCAGTTCAGTGGTTCGAATTTAACCTCGGCATCTCGATTATTCCTGCCTTGACATGGGCAACGTCCAGTTGGCATGGAAGCTAGGTTTCGAAAGGCTGGTACAACTGAACAGTTATCATAATTTTTTATTATTCCTCTGGCATCGACAAGTGACACCTTGACTGTGAACTGGCAGCCAGTCATTGAACACCAATCGTTAGGAGAATAGTATGGAGGCGAGATGGCCCAAGTGGTTAGAGTGCGAATTTTTACTAACCAGAAGGTTCGTGGTTCGAATCTGACCTCTGCCTCTCGACTTCCCCGGTCTAGGTTTGGGCAACCTGGCAGTATCCCAGTCGTCTTGCCTCCTTCTTGTGGCGTGGCAGCTAGGCACCGAAAGGGTACTACAGCTGAATGATTTGTTTTCTTTATTTAGAGCGCGAATTTACTGTCCGAAAGGTCCGTGGTTCGAACCCGACCTCTGCCTCTTGTTGTAGGACAACCTTCGAGAAATGATGTCCATCTTAACATTTATTCCATTGGACTATTTACCGGCCAAGGCCTTACACGCAATCTGCCCTTTTTTAGTCAACCTTGCATCTGTTCTGACCTTTCGTTCTCTTGTGCATAGTTTTGTTTTGAAGTGGATCATTTTTTCATTTGTATGGAGGCACTCGTACACGGACGAACTGTTTACGGTTTACAAGGGATAACATTCGATTGATAGACTAAACACACAACTGTCCCTGACAAGGAATTACTTTTGCGGTATTTTTAGACAGGGATTAAATAGGTTGGACAGTTGGATTCTACCTTCTGCTTGTAACAACTTTGAAGCACCTATCACCGATTGGACTAGCATCTCTTCATATGTTCACAACGGTTTCGAACCTTGCTCCGGTTGGTTCCCTATCTTGGACAGGCTTTTCTGGTTTACATTGTTATGTGGTTCACACAACAGCGCACGTCAAACTGCTTGTCCGTTACGAATCCGCGAGATAAGAGATTCTTGGCTGTTGTCTATTTGCTGTTCCCTCAGGTTATGCTGATGTTCATTACGTACTTCCCCAAAAGCGTAGTGCTGCTTACCCCATCGTCCACACAAGCACACAGTTGTTGATCACCCACCCACGTGCGTACCTGATTGCTTCCGTGTGCGTCTTTTGCACACTCACACCTCATTGGTCGATTTGGTGCACGTTGGTTGTTGTTGTTGGTGTATCTGTATTTGCACGTATGCGCAGGACAATCGGTACAATATGCATAAGGTTACCGTCAGCCAACTGAGGCATCCCAGGTAACAACTGCCTGGAATTTATGCAATAGGAGACATTAGGGACGTCTAATCTAGACGCCCACCCCCGATCTTCCCTTCCTACGTCAGACGTTGATACCACTCGTATGTGTGTTTTCATGTAACAGCGACTTTCCACAGCGCAGAGTTTACTCCCAGCCCGATATGGGAGCTGGTCCGTCATCCAACATTTTCCATAAGGAATTCTGTTCGGTTGCTTTCGTCTATTTCAAACATCTTTGAACCTCCGACCGAAGAAAAGATAGTGCGAATCGTTCGCCCGTAACCACTGGTGGTTGTACCGATCAACCTATCTTTCATTCATCAGTTGTGCACTTTCACCCGCCGTCCCATCACTACACTGTCTTCACGTCTACTTTCGTTTATGTTTTGCTGTGATTGTGAGTAAATCTTTGGACTACCGGAGTGTTTCGCAAAATACCATTGTCCTTCTTGGGTCACGCGTGCCTGCGTCCAACTGGGTCAGAAATCTAGCGCCCCGCTTCGATCTACAGCCGGTCAGGCTTGTGGAACGCCCTCCACACCTACTTCGTCTGCACAATTCGCCTCCACCTGCGACTCTCCCGAGTTAACTCGATCGACTGATCTTGGAGGATCGCATATTGTGGGCTCAGAACCAATCCACGTAACACCGACACTTTCCGGTACCATCACTTGTAACCTACCTACATCCGTTCAGTTCCTCCCTTCCTTCGCTGCCGAACCAAACCTACGGCCCAGTTACGCACGCACTCCACAAACAATTGTTGCTTGTGCATCGGTTGAATCCACTGATTCATCGGCCCCACATTTCCTACCTCGTGTTCGTTTATCTGACAAAACTTTCACCCCTGTTGTCGGCCTACCGAGAACCGAATCTCCTGCGAGACCCAACATCCCGGTTCACTCAAAAACCTTTTCCGTTGCAAATCAGCTCTCCAAACCTGATCTAGGACATCGATTGTCCCAACAGTGTCCGGAGAGCAGGCCGAGTACGCACAGTTCTCTGACTTCTAAAGCTAGGTTCCTCAGAGTATCGCTAGAACACACACTCGAAGATTTGAGTCTTGTCGATCACATATCACCTGTATTCTACCAGCTTAGCACCGTCAGCTTACAGGTACCCATCTATCCACGTGATTCCGTTCGAGTACTCCTAACGCCGATCGTTGTACTTTCTGGACGCGATCCATTAGTTTCGAGCGAATTTAATCAAACTGCTGATCCAGATCAGCTTACAGCCACTAGTCGTTCTCTCGAAACTTCTGGTGGCTATCCTCTAAGCGATCTACCGAATTGTTCGCCCCCGTTATCTTCTTCCGGCCAGTCTGTTTATTCGATCGAATCTTTACTAGGTGAACCGTTTGAAGGTCCGAACAACACTCGTGACTCTACCTCGTGCACTTCGGCTTCTTGTGCTGCTCCAGGGGTTTCTTGTAGCCGAGTAGTCAATCCATTTCGGGTTACTCCCTCCGGTCTATCTCGGTGTGTAATCCAACCAGCCCCTGATATCCAGTTGAAACCACCTTGTTCTGTCACGATGTCGTCAGCGACTTCTTATACAGCTCGTCCACCCCGAATTCCAGGCACGACCTCAACCATATCAGCAGCTTCTCCAGCTGGCTCCGTTGCTTCACGTCTTCCAACCACACACGCGACCGCAGCCTCCTCTTCAGAGGCTCGTTTAGTCCGTTTGGATAGTGTTGCTTCCCGGGAATCTTCTTACTCGCCTCCTGCTGACCGGAAAGGTACAACGACGCGACGTCCAATGCCCCCGGGTGATGGGGTTCATCCAGACGAGGTGAATTCGGCTCTTCTGCGCAAGTTGGAGAAGGTCGCACGAGATGCAGCCAATCGTGGACATGATGAGGAATACTTTGACAGTGGAGAGGTTTTCGGTCGTGTTGGACGTGATTCGGAGGACGACACGGATGAGGAGGAAAGGGGTAATGGGGGGATTCTCCTTTTGGCCAAGTCTTCACTGCGGTTACCACCGATTCAGGCTGATTCAGCATCAAATGATCATCTCCCAACGTCCTCTTCATCAGCGGTTAACCAATCTCCCGTAAATGAACTCCTTCGGTTGCTCACATCCGGTAGTCGTGTCGTTAGTCTTAAGCCAGTGAAGAACTTCGTGTACCCACCACCCAAAAAGACTATGGTCTCAGTAGCGACGCAGACAACTGGGTCGATGTTGTGTACTCGATGTAGAGATGTGATCAATGGTCCAGTCGTAGTGCAAACGCCGGCCTCTAAAGTCGTGTCGAAAGTGACCTCATGGCCTAAAGGTCGAATGTTATATGCCGGTCTTATTGAAGTTTTACCCGGTGTTATCCCTCTATCTCGTGGAGTCTCACTACGCCGATGTCGACCCTCAGTTGGTGGTGCAACCACACCATCACAAGCTGCGGGCACTTTGCGCTTTCGTTGGCCTGCTGACGGAGAGTTAGCAGACTGTATAGAAACATTGCCAGATAGTCCGGTTCCTGGCCGACTGGCCCCCCTTATTTGCGATCCCAACACGACCGTGTCCCAACGGTTCCTCAGAACTGTCCGTCAGGTAGATGGGGTATGCGTTTCCATCGTCACCATTTGTGGTCCTTACAATCCGCGATCTGTTGTCCCAAATGAATCTGTGATGAAGAAAACCTTAACTATCACAGAACCACCCAAGGTGTTCACCAATGGTGCGGGAAAACCGACCGCAGCTGCAGGTGAAATGCAGAATGCATCTGAATTAGATGTGGATTCCGACGAGGAAAGCGATGGTCGACGCTTGCGGCGTCATTTGCGGCGCACCCAAAAGACGCAGGACATCAACACGGCCATGGTTGCGGCGGCGATGCGTCAGAATGAACTAGAAAATGGTCACGATAACAAACAGGCGGTGGAACAACCATCATCCACGATGACCTCCGCTGAACAAAAGCGACAGCTACAACAACATCAAGCTCAGGATCTTTCCGTAAACGGAACTGAAGCCACTGTTCCGGATACCAGTACTACCTTGGAGACGGGCAAGACCGAAGCGGATCAGGTTAATTCACGACTGGCTGAAGCTCGTCAGCGTGCTAAACGACTTATCGAGCAACGAAAATTGAGTATGCAGGAAACTGTTAGCCACGTTCCGTTTGATATGAACGCTGAGGTGAGAAACGGTCCTTACATCCAATCTAAACACATTTATTTTTGTCCTCATAATTTGACCAATCGTAATTAGCTACTGCCTATTGTCGACCTAATTTCCACCTTTTTATCTCAGATCACGTCAGACTGTCTAATGAGGTTTACACTACAGAGGGTTTGGTGCGTGTTGGTCCTGACTGTCTCGGATCGATAATAGCATGATGCTGTATGTCTGATTGCAGGTCCTCAATCTCTGTCGAATCAGGTCGATATTTAGGTCAACATTTGTGTGATTCTGTCAGAATTTGTTCCAATTCATCTTTGGTCAAAGGGTAGAGAATCACCTTCGGAACGTCTCACGTGACCTGAAGAAACGAGGATTTTCTGTTCTTTAAACCACATTTGTTAGTTTCCCAACATAATGCATGTGCTACATAAAGCGACGGATGGTATTATTAGTCGCTACGCTAATGTCAACTATTCCCCCCGCCTATCAATGAGTTGTTGCTGTCACTGCGTTATGTGTCTGTTAGCCTGCGTTAACGAATCGTGATCATTCGGTAATATATCGATTTCCACGAGCCCAGTCACGTGTGACTAATATAGGGATGAACCACTTTACTCACAGTATCGATCGATCGGAAGCTATGCAACCCACAACAGCCCTGCTCCAAGTTAACATCCAGTTGACCCTACGGCTAGATAGATATCAGGTCTTCAGATGGGAAGTACACAAAAAACTCATCGATATGTGTTTGGATCAGGCTTTGTGTGCTCAGACTTCTCATTTCTAGATCCTCTTCCTCCTAAATGACAGAATACACGACTCGTAAGGCTACTGGAGACTCTGCGACACTCCACCACCACCAGCAGTTTCACGCTTCCTTGGTTTCGTCACTCTGACGTAGTCGCCGAGTTTTAAGCAACCTTTTGTTCTGCCTGTACATCAGATTGTACGTAACTGACGTAATATACCCATTTGCAATGGGAGAGATTCAATGGAATCTGAATATCTCTTCTAAGATAGTCCTTTCTTAGTAAGCTACCCGGGGGCGAGATGGCTCAGTGGCTATAGTGTGAATCTACTGACCGGAAGGTGCGTGGTTCGAACCCGATCTCTACCTCTCGAATTCCCCTCTCTAGGCTTGGGCAACCTGGCAGTATCTCAGCCCTCATGATTCTTTCGGGTGGCGTGGCAACTGGGTACCGAAAGGATGTTTCAGCTAAACGATTAATATGCTGCACAAAGTCCGTCTCATGTTTCAATTAGCGCGATAATCGAGACGTCGCGGTACATTTTCTCGGCAGAACACACTACTTAAGTCTACTGGAATCTCGTCACTATCGGTTTCGCACTTCTTGAAGTGACCTTTGTGCTTCATTTGAAACAAGAGAATCAGTCTCTCGTTAACGCCAATTTAGTTTTCAAATGAGTGTATTTCTCCAGTTACCTCCCCCCTAAACTTCAAGCAGTCATCGATTACTCTGTAAATATTAGTGCATTTGTTCAATTGATGTGGCAAGTCGTCAGTTGATCAACATATTCACCTGGAGCTTCACAGGTTGCACTCGGATCAAATACAAGCTATTGCGAACATGAAAGAAGCAGTCAGCCCAAATTTTCATAGTGGATTAGATATGTGAGTTAACAAGTGATTGAGTACCCGCTTCAAAAGGCTGATGTCTGTGAGTCTGGGTATGTTGGATAATGGGAACCTGTTTGGTCCGGGTGTGATGGCCAATTGCAGGTGGCTACTATCAGCTGTCTCCACATACAGCTGGTGCATGGACCCCAAAACTGAAACACATTTGTTGCCTGTGAAATTTAGACACTACCCTTAAGCAGTTTTTCTTATCTATTTTATGCGACTGTGATTTGTTCTCATACCTTTTTTGGTATAAAGAACTTGGTGGCGGGTATATGCAGTTGCCAGACAAAAAGGTCATTAAACAGATGGCTGGACCACTGTGCCCTCAAGACCACAGTTGGGCTCTAGATGCTGACTTGGTTCCACTTCGCCTCCGTGGTGTCGTGATCGGCAGCGTGAACCGTTCTCTAACCGAGAACACTCAGGCCTGATGACTAGACGTGTTCGACCACCGCTTTAATCAAACTTAGATACCACATTGGTCACTTTATACCACTTTTGTGACACTTTATCATCCTTATGGATAACGAGAAATGATTGTTTTGAAATTGCCTCATAACCATCATTGGAAGTGCTAAACACGCCACCAGCTGCTGGCGTAGTTTGGACCAATTTGTAGAGGTGGTATGTCAGTGAGCGATGTTTTCAGGGCAACGGTTAACAGGTGACTGAATTCATCCGGGTTCTGCGGGAATTCAGTTACCGGAATAGGACACCGTTCTGGATATTACAGTATCCGAGCCCGCGTTGCTGAATGGCTTGAATTAAGCCTGGTTATAAGCTGGACGCTGAGCAAACTGCGTTAAAGTGAAATAAGTCCGTTAGAATAGCATGAAGGTATGGTATAGTAAATTCATTGACGACGAAAGCACCATCCACGAGAGGGGAGACAAACTAGTTGCGCGTTTTATTCCATGATTTCCGTACCACCGTACCTTATTTCGGAGGCGAGTTATTCCAAATCTTCGTCTCCCAGTAGGGGGTGCTGAGAGCTAATTGATAGATCGATTTGTGGGTATTGGCAATCAGTTCGGCTTATTCTCGGCACACCGTCGCATCGTCGTACAAGACACCACCTACTTACACCCTTGCTCACTGCACGGGATCTACGGCAGCGAACAAATGGTCTGGCATCGTCTTACCGTGTGGAATCATTTTCCGTATTGTTAGTTTGCGGAGGCGAGATGGCTCAAGTGTTAGAGCGCGAATTTACCGACCGGAAGGTCCGTGGTTCGAACCCGACCTCTGCCTCTCGACTTCCCCTGTCTAGGCTTGGGCAACCTGGCAGTATCCCGGTCCTCGTGTTTCCTTGACGGTTAGGCACCGGAAGGGTGTTCCAGCTGAGAGATCTATTGTTAGTTTTCTGGCTAGGAATGTAGGTGTTTATTCTATCTCATTAGACTGGTTGAACGAGTATTCAGCGCTTTCACACTCCATATTGTAATTAACGTCAACACTTAGCTAAGATTTACTTAAGACTTGAGGAGTGTTGCAATCACATTCAGCAACAGAAAGTCTTGTGTCAAAAACTCCAGCATTTCCTCTCGATTATGGTACTTCTGTGGGAGCTTTCACATTTTCAAAACCTGGTGACCCTCAGCGTACTATTCATTCGGCCGTCATCTATCACCCAGCACACTAAGTAAACACTGTTTGCGTGCAGTGATCTTTGCAGACAAACCGCTATAGGCAAAAGAGTATTTGGCCCTTCCTAGACGTGGCCACACTAAGTAAACACTGTTTGCGTGCAGTGATCTTTGCAGACAAACCGCTATAGGCAAAAGAGTATTTGGCCCTTCCTAGACGTGGCCGCTCTTCTGAAAAACCGTACAACAAACAGTGTGTAATAGGAATGCCAGTACATACTCTCCAGAGGGCCGGCTTCGTTTCAAAGTGGTCTTTTTTATGCGATGTGGTACAACACAGCAAGTTGAGCTACCTTTTCGCTGTTTACAAAACACAAAACGAAGAAACAATGGCGTCATCCTTATGGAGGGGATGAAGAGCTGAAAAGCTTGCGAATCTCCAACTCTGGAGAAGCTTTCAATTACTCTCGGTGCAGTTTGTCGCTTCTCTATCGCGTTGTTTTCCATACTCTTTGTTCGTAAGCTCACTGCGCGAGCCGTTACGCTATTGTGTTTTAGGTTCTTTACGGTTAGACGCTTTTCAGATCTTTCATGGTACGTTGAGCGCAGCCAACTTTGCCAATCTCTTGCTCCGTCGACAGAATCAATGTGTGAACAACCTGTTGAATGTCGTCGCCTGCGAAAGCTATGAATTCAGCGTTTGGATCATCATCATCATCATCATCATCAGCTGTAATAACCGCGTACTCGTCATACAGTGGTTGTAGCTGCCGCAGTTTCGTTCACTTTCCCCAAGATTTAAGGGGGGGGGGGGGGGTAGGTAGCTGCGCATTGCAGGCGGGAGCTAATAAATTGGTTCATAAATCCAGCACTGTCAAGTGGGAGGGGGTTGGAAAAGGAGCAATGGAAGGTAGGTAATAGCTTGGATGCACGAGCGCCATCGAGGGCGCGACTGTATAGCTTTAGAATCTCACGGAACGTTTGGGATTTTTTGCCTCTTAATTGATGGCCTCGTTGGTCGCTTCCCTTTTACTTGAACCTGAGTGCGCTTTCCCTAGGAGGTTTAATTACGCGAAATTCGGTAAGAAGGTCCTTTTCGCCTTACTCTTACAAGCTTTGATACCTCTGCTTTGTCTCCTAGTGGTGTGTGACTTCCAGGTATGATTATGAACGACCGATCCATCATTTGATTAAGTCATTTTGGTTCCATGAAAAATTTCCAAAAGTTACGCACTTTCTTAATTCGAATTGGGATTTGAGATTCGGCTGTCCGAAGTGGTCTGTTGTCAGGTAATCAGCTGTCGTTTAAGTACTCGTGGATTACGTCTCCGTTTCGATATAGTCACAGAAACATCTACTAATTCGAGTGTTGCCCGGCTACTGTGCTTACCGGCGCTTTGTATCAGCATTTGCTCTGTCCCTGGCCGATCCACTTCTGCACACGCGATCCTTTGCATCCAACTGCTGTTCCCTTTTAGGTTGAAGCTGTCGTGGAATTTTGAATTTCCGATAACCTCAGTCTGTTCGACCGGGATTGCGTTGATGCCCAATATGCTGATGATGATCATGTTAACTCTTCCCCGTTCTGTTTGGGTTTTGTCACAGGTTGCAGACGATGCCCGAGCCGATTCCGGTGTTGTCGATGACGTGGATGGCCATCTGATCTACTCTATTGGTCAATTCATCTTCGATCGATGTGAGTTGAGCCCATCTGTTTCGTGCCTTGAAGCGTCCAGTTGTTGTTGCATATATAACACTTTCTGGTTCTCTTCCCACCATCGCCTAGTTCGACTAGGCGAAGCGCGGACGCACCTGTCTTTGCACACACGGTGGGATAGAAATGGAATTGTTGACTAATTCGGTTGTCTGTTTATCCACCCAGTTGGCCAACTTTATAAGCTTAAGTGTATAGGGAAGTTCATTCACGGTGATTGGCTTTCATAGTCAGCCGGCTTCTTGGGGAACTTTAATAAAATCAAACTGAACCTCTCGGTCGTTTTTGCTGAACATTTGGGCAGTGTTTGTATTTGACCGTCTCCTAACCTGTTGGGTTCCTCTCTCTCTTTTATTATACACGTTACGTCTGTTACCTATCTTACGTCGAATGCTACGTTCTTGTCCTCATATATGTGTTCTTTCTCAATTTCAGATGAGATCCTCAAAACTCTCGGTGAGGGCACGTTTGGAAAAGTAGTGGAATGCAAAGATCATTTACAGTAAGTCGTATTTTGCATCAATGTGGTCTTGAAGACGTTCTTTTCAAGGCAGTCGTCTATCGTTTTTAGTGCGGGGGAATAACGGGGTGATCTGTGTGACTATCATCTCCCTCTGGTCTGTCCAAATGCCAACCGCAATACCCTGTGATAGTCCGGCACAGCTTCGAAACATGCAAAGTTGCGTGAATGTCAGCAAATGCTTCGTGTCTTATCTGCTACTGCCGTCACTTTGGAAGCCATTCGTTAGGGGTTTTCGCCTTCGCGACGGTGATTCACATTACCCAAGTTCACTCTAGTCATCCAGTGAATCACCATCAATTCATGACAGCTTTTAAAATGTCATAGCGGCTATTTAGGTACCTACCCACAGACAGATACAGTAATTGGCTGCACTGTAGACTTGCCTAATTTCATGTTTAATCTGTCAAGCCGTGCAGGTAACAGTTTCAAATTGTGTATTTTAGTCACTTGGCTTTCAGACCCTTTTCGTCCGCATGCCATCCACAGTGACCACTACACAAGATTGGCATTTAGAGGTATCACCTCTGTAATTCACAAAAACTGTCGTAGTCTGTTCTCGGTTTCACTCGCGAAAGAAACAATCCGCGTTTCAACTTGCTTCTGCGCTTCCTGACCGAAGTACGAATCCCAAAACCTCCTGAAAACATTGTTGAACACTCATTTATGCTTGGAAAATTTGGTGTAAGGTTCAAGCTAAGATACTAAAAGGATAAACTTCTGTTCAGTTCTTTGAGACTCATCACCTCACTTCTATTTTTCTTCTTCAGAAATCGAAGAATTGCTTTGAAGATAATCAAGAACGTGGACAAATACCGAGAGGCTGCCATGTTGGAAATAAATGTACTCAACTTCCTCAATGAGCGCGGAGCAAACTTCGAGCAGTAAGTTTTCCAATCTTACGGACTGATGGCCTTCCTCATGTTTGGTACCTTCAGTATTTAACATTTTAAAACCAAGCTATCTCCTCATCTGGGGAGACGCCCTTACAAGATCCTCATCCTTGTGGGAAGCTAATTAGTACTGTCCACATGAAATGTTTTGTTGAAATTTGTAGCCGACGCAACATGGTGAAATACACGTCACCCTCCGTCATGTAGTTTGTAAGTAAGCGGTTGGGTTCCTCGTCTATCTGAACAGGAATAACAGCCACGAAGCAGGGGTAAGTTACCACCAGTGCGTACTCCTGTACAGCAACGAAAATGATGATGATGACGACGATGGGAACTCGGGAAATATTGAGTTGGTGTGCGTTGCTTCACCCCATCTTTCAGTTGATTCGATATTTCAGCAGCGGAGTGCTGCTAGGTTACCGGAAAAATGAAATCGGAAGATTTGGGGAAGCCTTCATTTGAAACGCATTCTTGATTCGGCCGAAACACGAAACTTGCCAGAACACAGTAGTCTTCTTCAGCCAGCGGTGTACCTTCGGAATCGCTTGTTTCGTTGCTCGCTTTGAAGTGGTTCCACAAGTGATGTGTCCGCATGCGATATGTGGATCAACACGTATTACAGAAATCTTGGGAGGTATGCAGATTTCATCAGCTTAGGCCATGTCTGAACTCAACTCATACTCACAGCTAAGCTGTCTTTCCAGGCAAACACGCCTCCAAGTGTGCACGCTTTCCCGGTCAAGTGATCAAATCATGCAAGGCGGGGGGTACACCGAACCGCGCANTGTCTGAACTCAACTCATACTCACAGCTAAGCTGTCTTTCCAGGCAAACACGCCTCCAAGTGTGCACGCTTTCCCGGTCAAGTGATCAAATCATGCAAGGACGGTGGTACACTGAACCGCTCATTCAGTTATTCGCGACATGTATGCTAGGCGAGCTCCCCTGAGCAAACCCTTGTTGTCCGTACTGACGCGGTCTATCGCTGGCTGCGGGACAACTGTTCTGTGTGCGGAAATAAGTCAACTTCCTCCCTTGGTAGTGCTTCGCCTGTCTGGCCAGTTTGTTCATTGTCCAACTGCAGATGAAATGTGGACACCCATTTAACTACGTTCGGACGATCTGACTAGTTGATATACTAACGAAAAAGGGTTTCTTTATGTGGGCGCACTCTGCAACGCATGTACTGCCGCATTCTGAAAGGTATTTTCCTTGTCAGGTTTATCCGTCGTGGAAATTTTCTTGCTCGTTCAATCGCCTCCTCTGAGCGGGTTTTATTTTCAAGTTTGTCAACCGAAGGTGCTATTCCTAAACAGGAGTGTTCAGCAGAGGTGAGGAATCGCAAATAAGCGCCTAATTTGTCGATTCCCTTTGATGCGTTTTCCTACCCTACCAATCACGGATTGTCTTCTCCTTGGCAATTAAGCTGGCTGCCAACCGATGTCAGTGGTGTTCTTGTTGTCGGTTTCTATCCAGATTGCCTGAGTGAATGTCTGGTGGTATAGGCTAGTTGTGTCACAATGTTGTCATCTATTTTGGACCATATGAGGACCAGGAAATTGTTGGGACATTATGGTCGACGATTACTTGTGATTACTGTTGTAATCACGATGTCCATGGTATAATTCAAACAGCTGATCGTCGGCCTTTGTCCTGGATGCAATGTCGATTAGAGTCACCGTTTCGGGATCACGATACGTGTGCATGTTCGTGACATTCTGATGACACTTTGTGCTTCATAGGTAAACCATATTCTATTCAAACGAAGGTGCTTTCCAATGAGTATGTTGTTCGTTACTCCAGATTCGCCCACTGGCTTTTACCCAATTTTCAGACAACACCAGAATGTTGTTATGAAACGGTTCTTCACTCATTTCATCTTTCTCTCCTCCTCCTCTACTTAGTTTGTGTGTCACACTACTGGATTGGTTTGACTACCATGGACACATATGTTTGGCCTTTGACATTCTTGGCCTGTCCGTTTTCGACTTCCTGGTAAGTCTTTGAATTGCAAGTGACCATTGAATCCCGGCAAAAGCCATGATTGTTAGTATTACAATTATACTTATCGATGTTTTCATCGGCAAGCGCTTAAATATGTGCAGTAATCCTCATGGACTGTCGGCCGAGCACGGTGGTTTTAGCTGCCCCAGTTTAGCTCTTCGTTGTGGGGAATGAGGGGCCTTTGTTGATGTCACTGAATGATGGGTTCCCAAATAGTTATGGGAGTTTTGTCTGTGGTGGGGAGATCGGGAATGGGAGCTTTGCATTGAAGGCAGTTTGACAGTGGTTTTAACGATCTCCGTACTCCGTCTTTCAGTCCACACATCCAGGAGTTTTCCAATTTGCAACCTGATTTCCCCTATGTCCTCCCCACTCTGCGCATAGTTGTTCAGAAAGACGCCTCAAGGTAGTCGATCTGCTTGCTTACTTGGTCAGACTGTCAAGAGAGATGGGGCATGAAAAGTTTATCTATCATGTGAGAGTTACTTCCACGAAAAACCACTTAGTGCATTGTAACCGTGATAGTACAGTGCTTTCGTCAGTTTTATCAGTCAAATACTGAAGTTCCTTCTTCTCGCAATATATCAGAATATAACAACTGCCGTTCCTGATTTCGCTCACCTGATGACCTCAAAGTCGTCCTTTATAGCTCATACTCGCATGGTTTGTTTGCAGTCATAAGTCGTTTTCCATCCTGTCTCCCCCGGGAGGCTACTCGTTGCTGTTTCCAGTTTACGTGCGCGTACATCTCTGTCCTGTGTAAAACGGTTGCCTGAAACCTCAACATCAACCACGAATAAGGAACATTCCGTATCTTTTCTTACGAGTTGTCTGATCAGACTCGGCCACGGAACGCCTTGAAAAGCGTTGTCAAACAAATCAGACAACCGGGGATATGTTTCAGCCCCCCTAGGGAAGTGCAGCCTACTGTACAGCCTATCTACCTTTTTTGAGTGGCTCAGTGGTTAGAGCGCGAATTTACTGACCGGAAGGTTCGTGGTTCGAATCCGACCTCTTCATCTCGACTTCGCCTGTCTAGGTTTGGGTAACCTGGCTGTGTCCGAGCCCTCATACCTCCTCCGGGTGGCATAGCAGCCAGGCACTGTAAGGATATTACGGCCAAACGGTTTTTCCTCCTCGAAGAGTTAACGTGAGCGCAACCTCCTATACGTCAATGAACCACTTATCTACTACACACTGATGTTGTCACGTCGATTGTTGACGAAACGTTCGCAGGAGAACTTTCAAGTCCAAAAAGCATTTGAATGACCATTACCGCTCGTCTTCCGTTCATCCATATTTGGCTGAATGTGAAAATTCATCAGAATTTACTTTCACTACTCACATGCCACGATAAGTGGAACTGGGGCAAGATGGTTATAAACAAACCTATGCGCGTCCAATACTACTGACTGAAATCTCGAGGACCTACCCATGTAATGATCAGTTGATCGACCCACACGGGTTCCTTCTGTGTTCCGTTTCCCGACAAACTTTTATCACCACCACATACATCACTTTAGATGGAGGATACTGCGGTAAGCACATAAACACGATTGATTTCCCATATATCCCAGGTCTCCGTTTGATATAGTCAAGGTTTACGTTCCGTGTCAAGTTGTGTGATCCATCCTGAAAATATGCCTGTCCTTCTAATATAGTTCAACCGATCCACACCTCATACTACTCGCCACTACTTCAGCCACAACACCCGCTTCATCATCCCACCTCAACTTTTGCCTTTTCCCGTTCCTCTTTGCAGAAGGAAAACAACTACGTCGGCTATCCGATGGAGCACGTTCGTCACATTTCCTACCAGTTATGCCACGCGGTTCGATTTCTTCACGACAACCAACTAACACATACTGATCTGAAACCGGAAAACATTTTGTTTGTGGACTCCGACTATATTTCTGTGCACAATCGAAAGAAGCGACGTCACGAACGAATGGTCAAATGTTCCGATATTCGTCTGATCGATTTCGGCTCGGCTACGTTTGATTACGATCACCACTCGACAATTGTGTCCACAAGACATTACCGGGCACCCGAAGTGATTTTAGGTAAGCCCCGTGAAGTTTTTTGGTTGGTTGTCTGATAAACTGGTCAGCAGTCAAACGTAATACGTTTTGAACCGGGTGTCGGTATCTAATATACGGTTTTTTCTAAACTGTGTGTGCATTCTGGAGGATTTCGAGGGGGAGAAATAGAGACCACGGGTTGGCGGCTTTACTAACATTGTTTAGGTCAATTTCTTGTTGAGTTTTGATCGCTCCGTATTCGTTTTACTCTTTTTGTGATCATGTTCAATGCTTTAGTATTCTAGGAAATCTCCCTCTTCAGAATCGCCCTCTCATTGGCCAGAATGCACAAATAATTTACAAGAGTTTTCAGACGATGGTGTCAGTTCATTCTGCGAATACTGTTAAATAGGAACCTAGGTACATGTGTTGCAAACGAAAAGAGGAACCGGGCTAGACTGGACCCGAGCAAGCGACCAATCGCTCGTATGAATTCCGTTTCCTTACGCAAGTGGACAGTATCGTGTGGAAAGGGAAAGCGGCCATGGGCACCCCTTCGAATTAAAAGGCCTGAGACACAAGGCACCTCGCCCCCCGGGTCCAAGTATTTATTCGCTTAATTGAATCCCGGTTCCACTTCCTTCGACATCTCGCCCTTCTGCCATTCAGCTTGTTTTCATTCCTCTTCTTATTTACAGAACTTGGTTGGTCCCAACCTTGTGACGTTTGGTCGATCGGCTGTATTATGTTTGAGCTTTACACCGGTTACACACTGTTCCAGGTAAGTGCCGTTGTACTTCCATTACTGGGAAATACAATAACCTTTGTCCGGCAAACATAAACGCATATGCATTGATTTCCTGTTTTGATCGCTCCGCTTATAAACACGAGATGCTGCTACATTAGGATGGTTTTCAACACTGCTGATTGTTATTCTTAGTTTCGAAGAATCGAATGATTGAGTGGGCTCTGTTACCAAATCCCCAATTACACCTACTTCGACGTATCGGTCGAACAGCATATCGTGGGAACGAAAATACAAAAAGCAACCGCGGAACCCTGTGTAACTAGAAAATCAGTGTTCATAATTGCATACAACAGCGTTAATCCTGCTGATTTCCTACAGTTAGGCACAATGAATTCTAACCGGAGGAACTTTTGTGATGAGAAGAGTACGAAGGTGTTAGATTTCGATCCTACAGTCACGTGACCCTATTACTTGGGAATTACCGGGTGGAGTTCGTTCAGCCAATCACAACGACTTCCGAACCAATCCACTGATCAATAACTTTCTCAACCAGTTGCTTCAGTCAGACTGATCACCTAACTGATGTCCTGAAAAAAATTTATTGCACAGCAGGCTGATCCGATGTTTCACACACACACACACACACACGTAGTTATCGAATACCATTTCAGTGACTTGATAGATACCCTTCACAGAGTTGCGACGTTGAATATAGCCGATATTTTTTCAGTGTGTTTTGATACAACCATGCAAATTAGTCTTATACTGACACCTATAACACATACTGTGGGCGTTTATTTTTGCTCCACTTGTTTATGTTTCGGATGCACATCCACTAAATATTGCGTGTTTTTTGGGCTCACAGTGTGTTGATAGTATTTCGGTATCTTGCTAATGTTCTTTTGTTATCCTGGTATCAATGTGCCTCATGTTGTGTTTATAGGGTCCCAGCACTTTGTCAGTTCGAGGAAACCTGTAGCAAACGAAATGGTTTAGTAGTTAGGGCGCGAATTCACCGACCGGAAGGTCTGTGATTCGAACCCTACCTCTGCCTCTCGACTTCCCCTGTCCAGACTTGGGCAACCTGCCAGTATCCCAGCCTTCGTGCTTCCTTCTGGTGGCAGTTAGGCACCGAAAGGTTGATGCAGCTGAACGTAGTAAACGAACCCGTTTACGTATTCCAGCAGATGAGAAACTCTAGTACCATGTTCACAACCACTCCTGCTCCCTTAGGCGATCGATGAGTGTGACTGGCCGAATATAGACCTCATATTTGCCAACCTTTTTGTTGAGCTTTATGCGCACTACAAAACGTCATTTATCCACCTCCTTTCTTCCCGGTTTTTACCTTCCTCATTAGACTCACGATAACCGCGAGCACTTAGCCATGATGGAGCGGACGTTAGGACACATCCCCTACCGAATGACCCGGAAATCCCGGTACGTACATGTATCGCAATAACTGTTATCCTGTATTTCTTGCTTATAATGTGGTAATTTCAGTTTTCCCTTTTTTCGCTAACCTGGTGAAGCACTCAGTGCTCAAGGGGCGTCTTTAAAGCGAAGCCGATGGCACCACTTGCATCGGGTACATCTCGTCCATTACAATTCGAGATGGCCAAGCCAAATAGACTTAATGTTTGTCTATGCCGTCTGCTTGATTCAGATCGACCGCACAAATAATGGGACGAATGAAATCACATTTGTTAATAGCAGTGAAGTTTTCAGAGGCCTCTCAATGTACATACGGTACGCTGAGGTTATTGGGTGTGGCCGACCCCCTCCCCCATCCATATCTGTCAGACTCAGTTGTGATATGCGAGTGGGACAATCCGAGTTCGTATAAACTATGGGATTCAGCCACCCATTTGTTTACGTCTGATTTGAAAATCATGGGCTATCGGGTGAGCCGCCTTCAGAATTGCTGTTCCTGTTTTCCTTCGGGATGTCATTCCATCGAATCTACTCAGACCAACAGGCTTTCCACACGTAGCCCAGAGCAGGCAGCCTCTCTTGTGCAAAGCGTGGATTGGCTGTGCTTGTAAAACCGTAGAGTGTTGGTTCGGAACCGACTGTTCTCAAGGACACAGGACAATTGTAATAATAAAGGCTGAGGGACTGGAATGTTATTTCGTGTGTCAACATCTTAAACCAGGTAATACGATATAAACATGGGCCTGGATGGTGCACCCTTCACACGGCAGCCCCGTTTTCAGTCGTTAACTGAAGGATAAACTACACGATGCGATAAGCCCCACCATAGACAACCTCAAGGTATCCGTCAAGCCGTTGGTTGTAAGGCGTTGCATTACTTGTCCTCTCACAGATTGTTTCCAAAGTATCGATAACTCTGTACATGACACTTGTTACTGGGACTTCGTGTTGGAAGGATGGTCGACCGGAAAAGGTCTAGTGACACAGATAGCGGCGTTTCAGATCCGTAAAGTAATCACTAGTTCGTTTGTGTATGAATTTGAGCACCTAGTTGCAGTTGCAACCAACACCAAGCAACTTCTGCCTCTTTCTTGACTGGGTTTTTCGGATTTCTGAACCATCTGATGTCGGCTAGCCAAGGATGTGCGTCTTCACAGAGGAGACTAGTAAAGTATCCACAGTAGTAATGATTGGAGGTCGGTGTCAATAAATGTATGGGTTAATACTATAGTAGGACTGGGTTTCTCATAGAGACGAGACATGACTGGATAAACTAGTGTCCTACTTGTGTTTGTGTGAAAACGCCCGAATTGGGTGATCGCATATTTTTTTGAATTATAGCCTTTCTGTCTGCTCCAGAAACTTGATTGCGCTCAGGTCATGTGAAAAGTCATGAGGTGTTTGTCAGATCTGTAGTCTAGAAGGAATTCGTTAATCATGGGACAGCACTGATCCTGTTTATCCAAACGGTTTCAAACAAACAGGCTGCTTCATACGAAGCCGACCCCAGCTTTGTCTGTGTTCGACGACATTTGACTAGGAAGACATCGCACGGTGGTTGTTGTTTTTTTAAAAAAAACAGCTGACTGGTTAGAAGGGTTATTCGCATCGGACTGAGACACACCGCGATTGTTGTTTTCAGACTGCGGGTAGACGTTGAGAGCGGATCTCCTCACGTGATCCGACGGCCCGTAAATTCTGTCCAGACTGAAAACAAAACTGGTCCCTACTTCTATCAAAACATCGACATTTCTCGGATCGCGAATAATCCATTATCATCATTTGACCCACTGGAGCGTTCCTTACCTCACAACTTGGTACTTTCTAGCCGGCACGTTTCGAAGGGGTGCACCGGAATTCGTATCTTGGTAAATTTTTGTCCGATCAACTCCTCCAACTGTCCAAGTCTACTTTGGGCGTCTAAGTTGTGTATGCACCTGTGATGTTTGACTGACTAGTGTACTGCTGAATAGTGCATATTAGGCAAGGTCATCTGCTGATGTGAGATAGTCGGTGGATGATAACAAGTGTGCGCTTGATCTTGGGCTTGTTCACGAAGCGTGATTGTCTGTGTTGTCGTGCTAAACACAATTCAAGGATTTGAGCATTATTTTTTTTAGTAAGACGCTCCTGATCAAGGGCATTTCCTTAGTCCTCGGTGCTCCCTGTGTTGTACCATTAGGAGTGGACACAATTTTCCAGGACGAGTCGACGTTCATTCCCCTCGACACCACTTTGGCACTGTTGTTGAACTATGCTCGGGCGGTCACTCATTATTCGCCTAGGAGCGTTTGAAAGTGACCGAAACACTGGGTACCTTTACATGACTGTTTGCGAACATCTGTTTCAGGAGCATGCCGTGCCTTTCCATACGTTTGGTGCCACATATTAGACACTTTTTCTCTGGGCCAGTCAAGAGTTAAAACCTAACAAAACCGCTCCCCTTTTGCACATGTCTGTGCGTCTGAATATGTACAGAACCGGGTTTTTCTATCACGGGCGCCTGGATTGGGACTTCTACAACCAGGAGGGGCGTTATGTTCGTGAGAATTGTCGCCCTTTACTCGTGAGTTCTGTGCATGCTTGTTCTTATCACCCCTCCCGTTTTTTCTCGTCTTTTTTGGTCTCTCCGCCCACGCATCATCTCGCATGTGCGCGCATGTCCCATTCGGTCCCATCACTGCCATGCTTGTCATCCGATCGCATCGCCTTTCCAGTCGTACTAAGTACTTTGATGGCTCCGGTAAACTGGTCTGGGATCCGCAATCGCGTGAGGCCAAATATGTGACCACACACTGCCGCCAACTACGGGTAAATTCGACGTGTCTTGGGAGCATTCCCAGTTAAATTTGTCTTTACCATACAGTATATACCCATTGGTACTAATTTGCACCTGATATTGGCACAGCCTTTTGTTACCTTTATCCCCTATATGCACGTCTACATATCGGCATGAGTGATTGGCCAAGTTTTCGGTCCTAGAGATGCGATTTGAGATTGGTGGGTCTACCCTGTCGGTTTGTGCTACGTGGTTTAGACGTACCCCGACCCTGACTACGTCAGCCAATCTCGATTATTCCTGCCTAGACCGGACACCTACGTTTCAAAAGATGCCATGATTGAATTCTACTGTACTGTGTTCATCGTACCTATTCACATGCTGCCTGACATGGTCGGTGTCCGCGTGTGGTACTTTTCAAACCGTGACCGCATTGTCTCCTTTAAGTGTACCACTGCTCGGGAAGTTTTCAGAAAGTAATTGCCTCTTCCATAATTGGAACCAACTCCGCTTGAAGTGAAGTGATTCGTGAAAGCTACCTCTGATGTACGGGTACAGCATCGCAGATCATCCGCTGCGATGATATATTCTTATTGATTATTACATCTTATGTATCAAAGCGGCAATGCTGTCGCTTGCATTCAGCCGAAACGGCCGTCAGTTTTGACTTTGATTTCCTCCTGGACACGTGGTTGGGTAGCAATATGGAACTTTCGGTATTGATTGTGTGTCAGCCATTAACAGAAATGCCCCCGCCCTTTAGACAAGAAAGGTTGCTTAATGCGAAGAACGGTTTTTGAGTTTAGACTATAGTACAGATCGTACTCGGTCTGGTCACAGTAGCTGAAACCAGCGGGCTTTTTTTTAAGGTGAGCGAGGGGGGAGAGCTTTTTCTGCTGTCCGAAAAAGTGACCCCGATTGCTTTTATTGCATTCACTGATCGTTGTCGAATTTATGAATGCGCTCTGCTTGGTATGCATGAAGGGTAATGTCCTGAATGATTCGTCCACATGAATATGCCTCCTTCTGTTCTACTGTCTATCTATTCCTTACCTTCATATAGCGTTACTGCAAAGATGAGAGTCAAGACACTCTGGATCTGTTCGACCTAATGGCTAAGATGTTGGAGTACGATCCGGCAGATCGCATCCCGCTCTCCGCTGCCCTCACACATCCGTTCTTCCTGCACCTACCATCCCATCAACGTCTCAGCTACACATATCATCCTCCTCTGGCCTCCTTAGAAGCTGGTGGCCGAAACGGGGCAGCGAACGAACGGCGATCAGGTGCTCGTGGCGGTGGTGATCGCATTGAAGGCGGAGGAGGGGGAGGTTCCTCGTCCTCATCCGCCGGATCTTCAGAAGTGAAGCGTCCAAATCGTCTACACTCAGATCTAGTCTCTGCGCGATAGCATGTGATGTGAATCTGCCGACTCTCAGTATACCGCGTCCTTTCGCTCACACACTGCGTGCGCGCCCACGCACCTCATCCCGTAACAGACCGGACTCTAATCTCGTTGCCGTCACTGTACATACGTGATACGCTGTAGGCTTCATGTGGCCAAGTGCTATCAAAATTCACCTCCGCCTACCTGACATAGTCCACCAAGTTCGTACTTTCGAATATGGAACACCCACCAAATTGTTCACAGCAGAAAACCCGTCGTACGAGTAACCATCAGCGTATGTTTGCGTAGACCTGGCATTCCCTTTCGTAGAAGATTTGGACCATGTGGTAACCTTCGGTTGTCCCTCGGACCGACGAATACTATTTCCACCATCATTACCTACCTGTTTCCGCCGTCTACCTAATTCCGCCAGAAATAATTATCATCACTGTCCATATGCAGGATTATGCACCGGCGCTGTAATTTTGTCATTCATCTTTGTGGATGATCCTGCGTGGTGGTAATGTTACCATCTCGCTCTCTCTTTGGTCATTCTCTTGTATGTTCGCCGTTAGAATCACTTTTTTCCTGCTTGTTGAACAGTTCCGTTCACCTCTCCAACGCTGTTACCCGCACACACACACACACGTTTCGACGGTAGATGGCTCAGAATGTATTGGCTCATCGGTTTCTTTTTTTGGACTTCTGACGGCAGATGAGTCTCGGTCACTAGTGCGCAGCAGTCATCCGCATGCACAGACGATCCGCGCCGGTTCTCGTTATTTTTGCCAGCCCCCGGGGACAAAATAGTCCGATCATCTCTGTCTTTTCTCCTGGTTCCCACTTGTCCACTTTCCTTTCACCCAACGAACCGTCGCCAATCATATTTGACACGGTGAATAGTGTAAAATGTCAGTGACAGAGCACAGTGTGTTTCTTCTCTTTCTTTCTGTTCTATAAGTTATACATATGCGTGCATATAAATGCAATGATATCGACAGATCTCGGTGTTCGGCTGAGAAATGGTTTCGAACGGCTGTACCTTGATGTAGTCTGGGTGGGTCCATTCTTTATGGTAATCACCAAGTATAGGCTGGATGTTCTTGATCGTGTGTGGTGTAGTTTTATTTGAGGTAGACATCTACTGTCATCGAGGTTCTCTGACCTCATGAACAAGTGCTTACGGTAGTACGATAAGGTGACTGTAACTTGGGTTTGCTCGCATAAGTCGACAAGCTTATGTGTTTATATTTGCTGAGGACGGTCTGCCACTATCTATGTGGGTTGTCACTTGTCCCTCTCGGGCGGGTGGATCGTTCGCCCGGTACTCGAATGACTATTTACAGTTTTCTGAATTTCATTTTCGATAGGATGTGTCACACTTTAATAGGTGGCCAGTCAGTCATTCAGTTGTAGCACTCTTTCGGAGCCTAACTGCCGTATCACCAGAAGGAAGCACGATGGCTGGGATACTGTCAGTTCGCCCGAGCCTAGACAGAGGAAGTCGAGAGGCAGAGGTCGGGTTCGAACCGCGGACCTTCCGGTCAGTAAATTCACGCTCTAACCACTGAACCATCCCGCCCCCCACCCGAAGGATACTCCCTGGTTGCCATAGCCTAGATAGGGAAAATCGAGGGGCAGAGGTCGGGTTCGAACCACGGACGGTAAATTTGCGCTCTAACCACTGGGCTATCTCGCCCCGGTGGTCAGTCAACATTATCTAGAGGACGTAGATCGTCATACAGACAATTGGGATATTTTCGATCGATTTTCATATGACATCCTCAGTTTTCGCAGGTGCAGATCAATTTCGAAGAAGATTCGGTGGTTTTATCATGTGGGACAGTGATTTCGCCTACATTTTGACAACTATTTCGGACCAGCATCTCGAATTCACTTTCCGTGGAACTACTGGTCACCACATTAAGGTCTTTTCATTTCAGCTGATTCCAGCTGACATAATGTGATCGATTTCGACCTCACCAAATCGCAGAAAAGCGGTTTGACAAGTCGCTCTGTTTCCTACCAGATACTTACTGAATGATTGATGTCCAGTAGATTCGTGTTGCTTCAGAGCTTAACCAAACTACTGCGGCTCACTTCTGGGGGTTCAGACTGGCAACCCCAGACCAGACAACAGCAGGGCATTTCTTGTTAAACAGTGAATCCCCCTTCAGCATAGTCCATTGCGACCGAGGCAGGAAAGTGTTTTTCACATCATCTTCAGCTGTACGAACCGCGTACTTATTGTATAGGGGTTGTGGCTGCTTTATTCTCGTTCGCCGATGATCTGAGGAGATAGCTATGCATTGGAGTTGATTCTTGCATACGTTGGTGCCAGCGAACTCTAATTTGTGGAGATTGAGAGGGTAATCTACGCAGCTCGGGTGCATGTGTGGCGTTGAAGGCACGATTGGACAGTATTTGTGAATGCCTCTAGCCATTGATGATGTGTCTCGTCTCGGGGTCCCCACCCAGGCAGACGGCAATGACAAAAACGGCTGGGTTTGCTGGTAACAGTTTCCATACTTCTCTGACAAGCTGTGCTGGTCACACTCTCTCCCTGAATACTATCTTTAGTCTTGAGAATTTGAGGATTTTAGTCAGCTGAGAATCTGGTGTTCCAGAATGTAACTGTTCGAAGAATTAGGAAAGAGGGGAAGAGAACTATAGGACACATGGTTTGGTAATACTGACTGGAAGAGTGCAGGTGAGTGGAATGGTTGGAGATATATTTAATTGAAGTTCCCACGAGCGTCTGTTATGCTAACAAGGACAAAATCGCCACTCTAACCTTGATGATGAACCCAGTGCCCTTCATTTGGATACGGTGATGGTGAGATCTCATCCTAATATGATAGGATACGGTGGACGTGACAAGAAGTAATGGCGCGGTGGCATAGTTCGGAGAAAGGAAAGGGAAAACTACTATATTGGACATATAGCTTCCAGTTTGATTCGCTTTGTTTTCAGCGATATCCAAACCTGAAACGGTTAAGTAGAAAGAATGAGGATAAATTCGTGGTTAGTGAAACTTGGAGGGGGTCCGACGGAGGTTTGGAAAGTGTGATGGGATTTGAAAGAATCGAAGTTTGCAAGCGCTTGCGTACCCACAGTCGTGGATGTTTTGCGGTCGTCTAGGATCCCAAAGGAAGACGAGTAGGGAACTCAAACAAGTGTGTGTGCAAAAATTGTGACCGACTGGGTTGGCAAGGAAGGCGACGCGTTCCGAATGAGGAGTTCGTCATCGTCCTCAGTGGGTTGCCGGTTCTCACCTAATCTGAGGCAGTCGAATGCGAGGGCTGACCGAGCCATCATGCGATTGCTTTGGTCAACGGCATGGAGACCGAAAAATTTGAACGGCTGGACGTCGGTGAATGGGTCTAATGGGGTGCAGGTGCAAACTTGATGTTTTGGCAAGAAGTCGATAGCTCATTCGATGTGCAACATTCCAATGTTGCGATATTCAGAGAATTATTAGATGCTGGCTGGCTGTTCTGGTTGCAGGCGACCCAGTGGATCTTCTTCGAATGAGATTGATTAGTTCCCGGCTCAGCGTGGTGTAGTTTGACAAATGCATCTTCAGCTCAGTACGGTTATCTGATAAGCAGTCACCCGGATTGAGTCAACAGGGAGTTCGCCAAGGTTGTTTTCAGTTCGCTAAATTTTTGACACGAATTACATAGCTACCTTTCGCTCAAATTTCACCAGAGCTGTCAAACCACCCCTTTGTTTTCTAACCTATTGTTTACCTGCAGTCATTCGTTGTAGACAAAAATCTTCGTGCTGACTTGGCAAACCGAATCTGGTGAACCGGCTTTCATTTAGATTTCTCGCGCCGCATAGTCGAGTCATTTTCTGTCAACCTGGTGAACCGGCTTTCATTTAGATTTCTCTCGCCGCATAGTCGAATCATTTTCTCTGCAGCCATGTCGAGACACGGGCTTCGCGAATCTGCAGTCTCTCAAGTTGTCTGAATCCTTTTTCATAAAGGAAACTACGCACAAGGTCGCTGAAAACTCTTCGACAGCCTACGACCGGTTTCGCCCTTCTTGGGGCTCATCAGGTAGGCGCAGTCCCCGAGTTTCCGTCTGAATCCTGTTAAATATGCCAAATCTTACCACTCTCTAGTAGTCGGCCAAAGCTGGTTAGTAGTCTAAGCGTTTTGCTTTAACTCCGCCATCACATGGGTTTTGATTAAAAACAACGTGACTAAACATGGGAGACTCATATTTTTGTGGGAAATATGAAACCGAGTGCTGTCGCCCTTTGAACGACAGGCTCCTTGTTGTGTGAAAACCATCTCAGCGTAGCTTTCATCAAGGCGAACCTATACTTTGGGTTTTTCATTGCTGTGATTTCTGATAGAGAATCTACATCATATTGACCAAACGGCCTCTATTCCACCTGTGGAACCCAACTGTTTCTCCCTCTTTTTTTTACAGATAGAAGCAGTTTTTGTCCGTCAAAATTAGTTCCTTGTCTTGTTCCAATTGATGTGGTTCGAGTAGATGACGTAACCGGCAGGAGGAATTTTTCGTTTTCTATAAATACGGTTCGGTTACATGTCACAAGCCGATTTTTCCCCAAATGTTCTGACATCTTTTATAATCAATATAACAGCTGTTCAACAGGCGCAAAAATTGGTTCGTCGAACTCGAAAACACATACATTGCTTTCCGTCACAGTCAGGAAATGCTCGGCACTCCTACCGATGACGTTAGCTGACGCACGTGTGTCGAAACATTGCAAGTAAACGATACTTTGCCTAATTGATGCGTAAAGATTGTGCCTGACAGCGGTATGTTTTATGACGTCCGGTTCACCGTAATGCTTTCGCCTGTCTGTTTGCCGTGAAATGTGATTGACGAAATCGGACTGGATCTATGCTGGATATTCACCAAAAATTGAACGTCCGAAATGGAAGTCGAAAATTGATGCGTTTAGTTTCACAATTTATTCTACAGACTGCCCGTTGAGCACGAGGTTTTGTGGTGAGTTTGACAATTCAGACATGGTAAACAACTAGATCTCTGCTTGTACACGGGAAAACAGCGTCATTAACGTATACAGGTCAGTACTTCAGACCCTGGAACTCTTTTAGACCTGTTGCATCACCTAGCCAGTCACATGTTTGAACGACACTGGGTTAAGCGATATCCTTGTTCTTTCATAATCGTTCTCATCGACAACACAATATCAGTGTTTAGCCTCGTTGCCGTCCAACCATTATTTATTTGAAAGCCTAATTTTGAAGAAAGGTACAAAGGTAGATGTGAGAGGGACTCGTTACAAGCCCACCACCAAGAATTTTCACAGTCTGTCTCATACCTCTCTGTCAGATCAAAGCTTGATCATCTATCTGCTTGTGCAACTCAGGCATGGAAAGCAACTGTTTCTCCACAATTGATGAGTCGGTGTGCGCAATACACGACCAAGCGACTGCAGCTTTTGTTGCTGGACAAATTTTCCGATTGCACTTCGTGTCGCACAACCAATCGTTTCGTTGCCGCGTTGCTGACGCCAGTCCAACCGAGTTATGTTCCTGAGGTAACCTTTGTCACAGACCAGAAACGCTTCCAGTTCGGCTGCTTGCGGAGAACATATCTCACGCTAAAACTGTCCGTACTGTAGCCTGATATAGACGTTTTCTCTAGAATCAGGAATATGCCACAACAGAACCCGAGTCTTAGAGATTCACGCGCTCACCTCATGTGCCACACCGCAGTTGGAATCTGTGCAACTTTCAAGATACGCATTTCTTCGGATTGTTCAGTGACAGCATGACATTCGAAAGCGCGTGCCAAATGATGGCATGACTGGCCGGTTCGAACTCGAGCCTCCGTTGGAAAGTAGTCAGCTTTGTTGGTACCAATAATCGTGGTTGGTACACTATCAGCAATTAGAACAACCTACAATGTCTTGCGACTGATGGAACTGAACTTATTGTGGAGGCTATCGGACAATAATGTTTTGATGCTAGAATCAGATCCGTGCAC